CTCAAAGCATCACCATGATCTATCAAACGCTGTGACTACTTGTTTTGGTGACAATGTAAACAAGCTGAAAGAGGTATTCAAAGAAAATAATCCATTCAAAGAAATGGAACTGTTGACAATATTATCACAAAAGCTGTCATGCAAGACCAGGTTAAAGATACAGTTCTCATAGGTGATCAAAATGGCCTAGAACTCAATTCTAAGTATGTGAAAGAAACGATCGTGGAGTGGGAACTTGGCATTTGGGTCTAAAGAAAAAACTACACCTGTAGACATGGAAAATGGCAAGTTCAAATAAAAAGAGCAACACAGCAGCAGATGTTGTAGTTCTACGAGATGACAGGGCTTTTTTCACCAGTTTCCTCATTCTGGTTCTCTGCAGCCTGAGATTGACCTCAAGGGAAGCTTTAGCAAATTCAAGTTGGCTACATTTCCAAGAGAGCTATTCAGGTCGGATGGTATCTTTGAGTGTAAGAAAGACTCCCTAAGGACCTATGTGGTAACCCTGAAGCATGAGTGCAAGTCCAACAAGCTATCAGTTGAACACCTCACCAGTCCAAGAAGAAACAGACGTGTATGCTTCTACAAGCCTACAATGCCACAGAGAGAGGAGCAACATCCCTCAGCCCTGACACAGATGTAATGATGCTGGCACTTGAATGATTGCAAGCCTATGGATGGCACTGTGACAAGCACCAGTCAATTCCACTGTGTCCTCTATAGGACTCACGAGGAAATGAACTTGTGGCATTCCCCGGATTCCATGCATTCACTGGAAGTGATCAAACGGTTACCATATTATGTGGAAAAGTCCAAAGTCTCACGCTGGAATACTTAAAAGAAAACCCAAAAACAAGTGTTAGAAGCATTTGCCAGCCTTGGTAGCCGGGTGCACTTTGAAGATGACATGGTCATGAAGCTAAAGCTGTATATATGTGCCATCTCTATGCACCTTCAACCTATGGGAAATGCGATGGTTCTTGTTCAACAAGAAGCAATATGCAGATGCGAAATTGCCACCAACAAGCCAACTACGTTGCCTTAGTATGCAGTGCTCGACACTAACGCTAGTCCACTAGCCTAGGACTAGTGGAACTTCATCATAGGCTAGTAAGAATGTGCTCCTACTAGCCCCTAGACTAGTTATTTACCTAAAATGCTTTATGAGTGGTTAGTTTATATAGCTTGAGTATTATTCCCTTTAGTTTATTTCATTTTATCATATATATAGTATTATTTCATTTAAAGTGGAGTTGGAGGAGGAGCCTGGAGAGGAGGAGAGGACTAGTTCCTAACCCCCTGGTATTTTTCACTGTTGTTTTGTTTGGACTGGTGACTTGTCCTCAGCGGCTAGTGATTTATTTCACTTCCTAGCCCATTGCCTTGTGTCCAAAAAAGTTAGTGTCAAGCACTGGTATGGAAGGAATGTGGTACCCCATGCCCAGATATTCCTCTCCCAACATCTCACGGATGGATCCAAGATGGCAACAGACTACAGACTGTTCCAATACCCTACTTCCTGCACCTAAGGTTGTCCTGAAACTAATCAAGTGCGGTTGCAGAGAAAGTTGCATCAACTAAACATGAGCTGTTCATGCAAGAAGCATAGCCTAAAATGTGAGGAAATGTGTGATTGCATTTAAATGAAGGAAGTTTCTATTGAAGGCAAAGACAGTGATGGCGAGGACCTTTCTTGAGTGTAGTTTTTTTGCTTTGAGACAGAGGTAAAAACTTGCTTAAAATAGAAATGCATCCTTTACCATTAGCTGTTGATATCTTGATGAGCCTTCAAAGAATATGTATGTCTCATTCTCTGGCTGTCAATGCAAATTTATAACATCAATATCAATTTGCATAATTTAAATTTAGTAAATTCATTAAAGATTGATGTACATCAATTTGTATTTTGGATAGTTTGACAATACAAAAATCATTATTGCCAAATTCTTCGTAAAATTTTAATACGTCGGTGTATGACATCATCACTAATAAGCAAAAGTAAAAGCAATGGTAAGGAAAACAAAATAATATTTTCAATTGAGGTAAAAACTGTGCTCAAGTTTTCAATATGTGACCAAAAATATGATTTTCTGAGCACAATCATTCGCTTTGGGTCCCAAACAAGCCCTTCATAAATCATTAGTCAATGATGTTATAATTACCTAATTCCCATTAAAAATAAGTCACCATGGTTCAAAAAAATTAGTGACAGAATGCTTCAAATAAAAGATTCCAGCTTAGAAACTAAAATGATCATGAAATTCCAATGAAAGTGACACGATTAGGCCCCAGACTACATGTAACAGGCCCTTATAATCAGTACCTGTTTTCCTATGTGTGGTTTATTCAACCAAAACTTGTTTCTGTTCCCCTTAAGACCAAATTTAAACAGTCTCAGTTTAGAAGAGTCAAACATTTTCACTGCTATGCAACTATCGAAGAAACCAAAATCCACTAGGAAACAGACTTTGGTCAATCATACAATTCAATCAGCAATGTACCTTTCATGAAACCCACATGGAACCCAGGGTACCAAAATGCAGTTGTGCTTTCAGAGTCCCTAACCCTAGCACTGGAGATGATTTCAAACTAACATTTGCATTAATCTACAGCAGCAGGTCTAGTTCAAATAGTAAGGTGCTTGTCTGCAGTCAGCAGAAAGATATGTATCTAATTCCCACGACCAATACTTAGGATCTCAGATTAACTGAGGAAGAAGTTACTGTCTTTGCCCTAAACAAATCACATGTGGTTTGCAGGGCTGTTGCAAAGACTTCAATTTGCTGGGTATATGCAAATTAGTAGTGTTACGAATGCGTTACTTCGTATTGCGTTACTAACGTGCATGCGCACGAGCTTAGGGGGCGAGGCCCGATGATTGTGTAATCGTTTGTAATCCTGCTTTGTGCTTTATGACTATATCGTGATCGGTTATTAAGTATGTGAAAGAAACGATCGTGGAGTGGGAACTTGGCATTTGGGTCTAAAGAAAAAACTACACCTGTAGACATGGAAAATGGCAAGTTCAAATAAAAAGAGCAACACAGCAGCAGATGTTGTAGTTCTAAGAGATGACAGGGCTTTTTTCACCAGTTTCCTCATTCTGGTTCTCTGCAGCCTGAGATTGACCTCAAGGGAAGCTTTAGCGAATTCAAGTTGGCTACATTTCCAAGAGAGCTATTCAGTTGGGATGGTATCTTTGAGTGTAAGAAAGACTCCCTAAGGACCTATGTGGTAACCCTGAAGCATGAGTGCAAGTCCAACAAGCTATCAGTTGAACACCTCACCAGTACCCAAGAAGACACAGACATGTATGCTTCTACAACCCTTGATGCCACAGAGAGAGGAGCAACATCCCTCAGCCCTGACACAGATGCAATGGTGCTGGCACTTGAAAGATTGCAAGCCTATGGATGGCACTGTGACAAGCACCAGTCAATTCCACCGTGTCCTCTATATGACTCACGAGGAGTTCAACTTGTGGCATTCCCCGGATTCCATGCATTCACTAGAAGTGATCAAATGGTTACCATATTATGAGGAAAGTCCAAAGTCTCATGCTGGAATACTTAAAAGAAAACCCATAAACAAGTGTTAGAAGCATTTGCCAGCATTGGTAGCTCAGTGCACTTTGAAGATGACATGGTCTTGAAGCTAGAGCTGTATATATGTGCCATCTCTATGCACCTTCAACCTATGGGAAATGCGATGGTTCTTGTTCAACAAGAAACAATATGCAGATGCGAAGTTGCCACCAACAAGCCAGCAACGTTGCCTTAGTATGCAGTGCTCGACACTAACGCTAGTCCACTAGCCTAGGACTAGTGGAACTTCATCAAAGGCTAGTAAGAATGTACTCCTACTAGCCCCTAGACTAGTTATTTACCTAAAATGCTTTATGAGTGGTTAGTTTATATAGCTTGAGTATTATTCCCTTTATTTCATTTTATCATATATATAGTATTATTTCATTTAAAGTGGAGTTGGAGGAGGAGCCTGGAGAGGAGGAGAGGACTAGTTCCTAACCCCCTGGTATTTTTCTCTGTTGTTTTGTTTGGACCAGTGACTAAATGTCTTCATGAGCTAGTGATTTATTTCACTTACTAGCCCATTGCCTAGTGTCCAAAAAAGGTAGTGTCAAGCACTGGTATGGAAGGAGTGTGGTATCCCATGCCCAGATATTCCTCTCCCAACATCTCACGGATGGATCCAAGATGGCAACAGACTACAGACTCTTCCAATTACCCTACTTCCTGCACCTAAGGCTGTCCTTAAACTAATCAAGTGCGGTTGCAGAGGAAGTTGCATCAACTAAACATGAGCTGTTCATGCAAGAAGCATAGCCTAAAATGTGAGGAAATGTGTGGTTGCATTTAAATGAAGGAAGTTTCTATTGAAGGCAAAGACAGTGATGACGAGGACCTTTCTTGAGTGTAGTTTTTTTGCTTTGAGAAATGCATCCTTTACCATTAGCTGTTGATACCTTGATGAGCTTTCAAAGAATATGTATGTCTCATTCTCTAGCTGTCAATACAAATTTATGACATCAATATCAATTTGCATAATTTAAATTTAGTAAATTCATTAAAGATTGATGTACATCAATTTGTATTTTGGATAGTTTGACAATACAAAAATCATTATTGCCAATTCTTCGTAAAATTTTAATACGTCGGTGTATGACGTCATCACTAATAAGCAAAAGTAAAAGCAATGGTAAGGAAAACAAAACAATATTTTCAATTGAGGTAAAAACTGTGCTCAAGTTTTCAAAATGTGACCAAAAATATGATTTTCTGAGCGCATTCATTAGCTTTGGGTCCCAAACAAGCCCTTAAATCATTAGTCAATGATGTTACAATTACCTCACTCCCATAAAAAATGAGTCACCATGGTTCAAAACAAATTAGTGACAGAATGCTTCAAACAAAAGATTCCAGCTTAGAAACTAAATGATCATGAAATGCCAATGAAAGTGATACAATTAGGCCCCAGACTACATGTAACAGGCCCTTATAATCAGTACCAGTTTTCCTATGTGTGGTCTATTCAACCAAAACTTGTTTCTGTTCCCCATAAGACCAAATTTAAACAGTCCCAGTTTAGAAGAGTGAAACATTTTCACTGCTATGCAACTATCGAAGAAACCAAAATCCACTAGGAAGTAGACAATCATACAATTCAATCAACAATGTACCTTTCATGGAACCCACATGGAACCCAGGCTACCAAAATGCAGTTGTGCTTTCAGAGTCCCTAACCCTAACACTGGAGATGATTTAAAACTAACATTTGCATTAATCTACAGCAGCAGGTCTAGTTCAAATAGTAAGGTGCTTGTCTGCAGTCGGTAGAAAGATATGTATCTAATTCCCACGACCAATACTTAGGATCTCAGATTAACTGAGGAAGAAGTTCCTGTCTTTGCCCTAAACAAATCACATGTGGTTTGCAGGGCTGTTGCAAAGACTTCAATTTGCTGGGTATATGCAAATTAGTAGGAAGGGAATTGAACAGCTACGTTCTGCCAGTGTTATCTCCGTTTTTTTCCTATGAAAATAACCAGCAGTAAGGTTTAAAGGAGCAGGGGAACATCCCCAGCTTCCGGCCTTAAGAGACAGCCCTGGGTCTGGAAAATCACACAAAAAGACAGTGTCCTTAATATATACACTGTAATAAGTTTAAATATTGACACTTGAGTTAAAAAATTAAAGGTAGATGATTATGTCTACTTACATGATGGAATCTTTCAGGACTTTACTGGACAGTTCACCTCCACCATGCTAAAGAACACATAAAAATCAGTAAACTTATCACTCAAAAAACAGTAGTTGAATGAATAATATAGAAAAATACAACCTTAACCCAGTCGCCCCGCAGTTTGGGCTCATTATAGCCAGAGAGTGACCAGAACACAACTTGACTAGCAACATTCAGAGAGCAAATGGGTTAATTTGTTGATAGTTATGATGTACATCCAAATATTCAGCAACATTCAGCCTTTTAAAAGACATGTATTCTTAATTTCCCACATTTGTTAAACATCATTTTCAACACAAAATAAACCTTCAGACAACACTACACGCCAAATAAGATTGATTGTTGATACCCCGGAAATCGAACCGCAACTATTAACAATAATAACTAAGTACCATTTTTACAGATATCATAGGAGTTATAAAGAGTTAAATTACATAGCATTTATAGTTCAAACCTAAAATCAGGTCTCTTTGTGGGGGGAGGGGGGGCACTTAATTTTCACTTTTAGCAACTAAGTTTGTCTCACTTCTCCATCACTAATGCTATCATGTGCTCACAAACATAAAGGTTTTGTTATGTGCAATCCATGTGTGTGAGTCTGTTCTAACTAGGGTATATAATTTCATGCGAGTCTGTCAACAGGGTATGTGAGCGTTTCTGATAGGCGGGTTTCTTACTGGTTTCTTATGCACCTCATGATTGGCTTAATTCCTAGGTGTGTGTGACAGTTGGGCACAGTGACATGTCAAAATTCACAGAAGGGAGTTGGCAAGGATCGTTTACAGTAAACAATGAAACAGAAGTTCAAACTTTTAAGCCTTCTTCTGAATAAAAAATGCTTCAAATTCCTTCAAGGCCAGAATTTGCTCGTAAATTTGTCAACTGGTTTTCCAGCATCTTCCAATCGCTGCAAATTCACTGCCGCGTATTCTGCAATGTAGCCGACAGTTCTAGTGTCAAAACAAATCAGGAAATCATGATATTCACAGCCAAAACAAAAATAGAGACATATTGCTATTCAGGTCCAGGCATTTCGGAGAAAACCAAAGAAACTAAGGCTATTTAGTCACAATAAAAAAAGCTTAAGATTTAAAAAGGTAAAAGAAAAATCATTTTTAACCGCATCTGTGATCAAATCCTGTCAGAAAACATCTGCAGAAATCGAAAACCCCAGGAACTAATTACTCAATATGCACGGAACAGACCAGCTTCATAACCTCTAACTGTGAGACTCAAAGCGTCAAAACAAAACTTGCTCAGTGCGGAAAGAGTAGAATACTCCATGCACTGGATAAACTAAGCAAGAAGAGAGCAAGAAAATTAACCTTCGTTGTTCAAGCTAAGGTCACGTTTCACACTATCACAAGCTCAATCTCTCTTGTCACAAGCTATTAGTCGTGTTTGGCCCGTCAACACTTAATTCAAATTGGACTAATCACAAACTGTATAAGAAATTAGCAAATCAAAAACACTGACATATGTCCTTGCGGCGCTGCGGGATTCAAACATGATATTGTGCACTAATTCACAGACGCTCTATAGAGAGGGTTTAGAGCATCTGGGATGCAGGCAAAGGATTTTAGGGAGTGTTCTTACAATTTTTTGAAGGAAAAAGGGGGATGGTAAAATTTTCTGAAGGCAGGAAGGGGAGACACAAAATATTTTAGATGCCATTAAAAGATTAAGTATTATTTTGTAACATTATTGATAAACCACTAAACAAGTGAAGTTCCTTATTTTCTAGTTCAGTCCGAAGTAGTTTTTATTATTAATGCACTATGCTACAATGTCCTTTGCTTTGGGTAGTAACCAGCTCTATTTACAAAAGCATTACCGCCACTTTTATTAATAGCGTCACAGATTGTTTTCATGCTCATTTTCGTCGTTATTTTTTGCCATCATTTTCAGTATCATCATCATTGCCATCATTGTCATCAAAATTAACCTACCTTTCTCACTTTCAAAGTTTTTAAAGTTATATTTAAGTCCTCAGCTTCTATGGTCGCAAAATTTAAGTCAACTTTCACAGCTTAGAAGGAATGAAAATGATCAGTAATAATTGGTTTGTTGGCTCTGCAGTTAAGCTGCAAATTTCTATCAACTTGGCAGCAAATAATAATTATTTGCTGCCAACTAATTATTAGAAAGCTTTTTTGATTTACATCAAGGATGGAATTTCTTAGGATAGAAATTTCTTACGATTGCAGTGTCATTAAATGATATCAATCAAGGACTACAATCACTGATTTTTATCTCTGCATCCTGTGTCCCTGACACATAAAAATCCCCAAAGATGCAGAATAATTCATAGGGTGCGTCCTGTAGAACGCAAAGATCAATCGATCAATCTGAACATGTGTCTTTGTTGAAATATTCTGTTCGTGTGGTTTCTGAAGCGGTTATTTTGGCTGTTGTTTAACAATGCATATTTCATTCAGCTTTTGTTGTGCTTTAAAGTAGAGGGACTAGTTTTGGAGTCTATCTTCAGATTAGGCTCAATTACCAGCCACTGTTTGGGAAATAAGCCCACACTCCTCCCCCAAACAGACAGCTGTACTGAGTTTACTATTGTCAATTACCACCAATCAGATCGTTGCCTGCTCAAATCAAGCAGGCAGCTTAAATCTATTTTCCTGGAGCAGATTTCAAACAGCAGATGCAGAGGTGTTGTTTGATGTATCATTCAATCGTGACTGTGCAAAATCAATGTAAACACCTTAAATCAGTACCTGTTTCTGCTAATTTTTATGGCAAATACCAAAGCAACCAAGAGGCAAAGCAAAACATGTGTTTGGTATTCAGATGTACAATAGGCCACTTATGCATCCAACTGTCTCTAAGCGGGGAGGACCAAAAGAGCAGTGGAAATCAAGCCTATCTTGAGATTATCTGTCTGGTTACATAAAGGCCCAAGCATTTTTAATTTTGGACTCGTTGTCTTTTGAACTGGGACTCAATGGTTTTTGACTGGGACTCATGACTTTTCACAAGATGAGTCCCAGGACTCACCACAACTATTTGTAACAAAATCACTGCTACAATGTTTGTAAAAAGCTTCCTTCTATTAAGCCACAATTGGTAGCTGGTGGAAAATATGCTTGTTTGAGTTTAAAGACCACATAGTTTGCAGTACAGAACCAGAAGCTTTCCGTGGAGTAGGCAAAGTGCAACTGATCTCAAATAACAATTTTCTTTTGTAAAAACTTATTTTCGAAGTCCTTACCATTCGATGGTAAAAGAAAAATAAACTTGAACAAACATAAATTTTGACCCAATGCATAACAAACATTACATTCACTTTTTTCTCTTGGTGATGCAATACTCTAGCTGGTAATTTGGCCATTAATAGTTGAAAATGGGGAATTAACTTCCATCTCCTCTTTTGGAGAGATTTGTATTTCACTGAATGTAAAGTATATGGACCTTTCTTCAGAGGCAAGCTGGCTTGCAATTCCCTTTTCTTTTCATGCTTAACTGATTAGACCATTCAATATCTTTTAGCACCAGTTGTATAGCTTTTGATCATCTGCCTTTTTGTTAAAATAATTGTGCCCC